TTACTGGATGATCTAGAACCAGATACCATCTCTCAGCTTAACCTATTTCAAAGGATTGTGAGGAAATAATATAGCATCGGGCTTTATGGAAATTACTGAAAAAGAATTTTGGAATGGAGGCTCAAGCTAAAAGCCCCTAACCCAGAGGTCTCCAAACTTGGCAACTTTAAGACTTGTGGTCTTCAACTCCCAGAATTCCTCAGCCAGCATAGTTGACTGAGGAATTCAGGGAGTTGAAGTCCACAAGTCTAAAAGTTGCCAAGTTTGGGGACTCCTGCCCTAACCCAATAAACATTCCCAGGGAAACTAAAACTATCATATTGAAGGCCAAGGAATGCTGATAAGCTGAGAAAAGGTACTGGCAAAGAAGCAAAACTTTGTAAAGCCAAGCAAAAGTGAATCCCTTGAAAGAAACTGCTCATGAAAAACTGCCTTTGTTCTTTCAAAGTCTCGTCTTTGCAGTCCTGCCTTATTATCTCATAGTTACATCTGATTGCCTCATTAGACACATGATGCACTATAGCCAATCAAATGCTTGTTTTTGTTTGCACCCAGCCACATACCTTGCTGTGGTATCCAATTATATTTATACTCTAATTTGCATAAATCTATAAAAAAGCAAGTCTTTTCCTCCAGGGCTTTCAATAAATTTGTGTTTCAACATAATGCATCCTATTATTCAGTTCAGAGTCTGGGAAAATTCTCTGTAACTATCAAAGATCTCTTTAGAAGAAAGGTAAAAAGATAAAGGAGTCCCTGTGGATTTTACTTCGCTAGTCATTGCTGACCATAGGGGGATGGTGGTCATTTTTGTTTCAAGGCCATTGAGACAGCACTGTCCAAAGACATTTCCAGTCATGTGACTAGCATGACATCATGGAGTGCTGTAACCTTCCCACCAAAGTGCTACCTATTTATCTACTCGTATTTGCATGCTTTCCAACTGCTAGGTTGGCAAGAGCTGGGGCAAGGATGGAACTCACCCAATCATTGGTCTCTTTCCAGCCAACAAACCAAGCCTTTTAACCGCTGAGCCACTACGCTGCCCCTTTCTTCTCCTTTTGAAGAAAAGCGGGATATAAATGTTACTGTTACAAATCTGTAAGTTTGAAAATAGTGCAGCACCTGACAGATACAGTTAGGCATATTTTTCCAAAAGACACCAGGATCTGAGGAGCTTTCAAAGGATGAGAAAATATGTGGTGTTGTTCTCTTGGTATGAAAAAGATGCAAATGAAACTGGATCATACACATATACTCTAGTTGTGTGCGAATCTGTGTAATTTACAGCGCACAAGTATTGTATTTATATGTATCTGTATTATGTATGCAGTTGAAAAATGTATTATCTCTTTATTCAGGAATATATAAACTGTTCTTCATCCAGTCAAATTTATATTTTATACCAACTTCAAGAATTATCCATCAGCCAGGAATGCTAATTTTCCATCTACTCTGTTTTAAATTCAAAATATCCTGCGTTGAGTTCCAAATATTTCCTTTGTGTACAAAACAAGCTGTTTAAAAAAAAGCATTTTTTAAAACAAGCATTTCCAACTCAGAAAGCATTTCCAACTCAGAACAAAGTGCAAACTCTGCTTAGAGCTGTGTTGAATTCAAACATTTCAAAACTCATTTCAGTGGTAGTTTCAAATGCCAATCAAAAATGACAACTTGAAACATTTTGAATTCAAAATATATTTTCCTCTTTACTGCCAGCCAGCAACAGGGTGCTGGGATGAAAATGGTTGCATGAGTTTATTCTGCCCGGTGAAGATTTTATTTTCCAAAAGAGAAACTATGGGAACAAGTCCACATAGATATACTGCAGGCGTCAAGGCCAGCTGCCACAGATACATATCATCATGGCCAAATGTCTGATCCAAGGCTGGAACAGATGAGGCATCTAAAGCAGGTAAAAGGCACTCCATGCTGTTAAGGTCAGCTTATCTCCTAGCGACAAACTGAGATTTAGGATTCAGCTGTGAAACTTCAGAGGAAACACAATTCAATGGGGAGCAGATTCCAATTTCTTGCACTTAAAAAAGGACTCACTCAATGCACTGAATCAACCGACATAACCCAGATCTGAAGTTTACCGGTAAACCAAGAATTCCTTCGAGGTCATTAGGAAAAACCCCTTCTCTTCTTCTCTTAGGATATATTGTTTTCCCGCCCCCCCACGTCCCACCGCCCCCCCCCCGGGCAAAATCCTTGAAAAAAATGTCCTTGTTCCATTGTTCAATCCATGGAAACAGGACCTCCTTTGGCAAAACAGACAGCTACAGTACAATCTGTACTGCAACAGGAGTTGCCCGAAAGAGTCTAAGTAAGAAGCAGCGGTGCGTTGAACAAGAGGTCTGTAGGGGGCCTGCATAAGCGCACCAACGTGCCTACCGTCCCTGTCCTATTCTCTTTTATTATTATTATTTTTTTCTTATATGTATCCATGTATTCATAACTATGTTTTTACTTATACCTATTATTTTGTAAGCAATTGACAAAAATAAATACATAAAATTAAAATAAATAAAACTGCAGCTCCCACCGTCCCCCAGCCGCGGTGCAGAGCCTCTGCTGGCTGGCTCGATCGGCAGGGGTCGCGTCTGGAGGGCATATCAGGTTGGGGGAGGGGGGGAAGACTAGAAGGGGCGTCCCAGGCGACACGAGAAAGGAATGTGGAGGGGGGGGAAACCCCTTTTGCGTAGGAAAGCACCCTCCTTCGGGGGAGGTCCCTAAAAGCCACCGTTCGCACCCCGGCTCCAGTAGGAAACATCGCCCCCACCCCACAGGCTCCAGGCAAGCAGCACGGGCCCGGAGCAGGCGCGTTCCGTCCGGACCCTTTGCCCGACCCGCCCCCGCGCGCCACAGCTTTCCACGGAGCTGCTCTTCGCTGCCTGTGTGGGCGCCTAGCTTCGGCTTGGGCAGCCACCTCACGGAGGCCGCCGTCCCTGTCCCACAGAAGTGCCTCTTGCGCTTTATCCAGCCGAGCTTCCCCTCCACATAAACACGCGCGCGCCGGCGCGCAACCCCGCAGTTGACGCGCCGTCCTTCAGCCACACCAAGGAGGTCCGGCGTGAAAAACTGACTCCTCAGCCAACCCCCAGCAAGAGGCGTGCTGCTCCTTCCGGGCTCTTCCGCTGCCAGGCTGAACCACCAAGCCCGGAATGCTGCATTACTCGGCCCACCCATGCCCTGCGGCTTTCACCTTTGCTAGGGGAGGAGGAGGAGGAGGAGGAGGACGCGAAGCCCACTCCTAGCAGGACTCTTCCAGCCAAAGGAAAAGCGGGCGGGCAGGGAATGCGGCAGCAGACCAGCAGCTCCGAGCGGATCGGGCGGCCGGCAGGCTGCAGCGCGGCAAGAGTTAAGCGGAGGGAGACAGTCCGCCAAGGAGAATTCAGAACAGGGGGTCTCTCCGTCTGGGGAGCCGACCGGCGGCGGACCGGGAGAGGCCGGCGCTGCTGCTTCTTCGGAGCGCCGAGTGGGGAGAAAGAGCCGCTCGCGGGCAAAGAGCGAGCGAGCCAGAAACTTTCCCCGGATCTTTCCTCGGCGCGATCTGGAGGAGAAGATACCCTGCACCCGCCGGGTGGTGGTGGTGGTGGTGGGGAAGCTGCAGCGATAGCGCGGGGCCGCTTCGAGCAGGGATCCCGCTGGCACCCTTGCAGAGGCGCGAAGCTGGCCAGACGCCTCCGAGGGGAGCGCTAAACTAAGGCAGCTGCCAACGCTTCAGCCGGAATTGCTCCCTGCTCCTCCCGTGTCTTTCTTACAGTTCGGAATCGAGTCGCCGCAGCGGCTTTGGTTGGGGAAGGAACGGGGGGCTTCTCAGTCGCAGAGAACGGGGCCAAGCTTCTCCCGCTGCGGAGAGCCCGAAAGTGTCGGAGGGAGGGGCGAGACTCTGTTTCTGAGGGGAAGGGGGCCGTCAGCCCCCCCTCCCCCCGTTTGAGCTTCTGACACTTCCCAGCCTCTCTATTTAGCACGCACGCACCCCTATACTTCGCCTTCCTCCCAGATAAAAAACCGGAATCGAAGAAATTCTCTCTCCACCCCGGCAGGTCGCTGTTTGTTGCAGGGAGCCCGGTCGGATCCAAGAGAAGAGCTTGCCACAGGTAGCCGGAGAGTCGGAGGCGCGACGCGAGGCGACTCGCGCGGCCGAGAGCGCTCGAGAGATCCTCTGTGTGTGTGTGTGTGTGTGTGTGGCCCAAAGGGTGCAGGGGTCGGAGCTTGTTGCTGGCAGGCTCCGCTCCTCTGCCCTCCCCCCCGCCAGGCTTCCCCCGCAGCCGAGGATGAAAGCTTTCCCCTGCGGCCGAGGAAGGCCGGACGAGCAGGCAGCAGAGGCGGCGCAGGCGGGGACTCGAGCTCTCGGGTGGGCTCTTGCGGGGGAGACCGTGGTGTCGAAGACTGCGCCTGGCAAACCGCGCCAGACGGCGAAGGGGAACAGCAGCAGCAGCACAAACGGCGTCTGCGGTTGTTGAAAAGATACCGAACAAGTCAAGAACCGAACTGCGCACGGCCGGGACTTTGGCTGGTCCCAAGGAAAGGGGCGGGGTCCCTCCAAAGCTGCAACCCCCGACGGTTACTTTTAAAGCAATTAACTGGTGCAAATCGGGATTTCCGAACCCGCTTCTCGGCTACAGCGAGGGCGGAGCTTGATGTTGAGGATAAGATGTAAAAGGGAGGGAAGCCTCTGCCTTGTTAAAGAAATCAGACTTCTGGTACCCCTGGGTTGTAGAGCGAGAAGCGCCCGATCCTAAATAACCCAGCCGGGCACTCTAGGAAGTTGCAGTTGGACCTGCACATTCTCTCTGGAAAGCCTAATGCTGCTGCCTACAGCTTTGCTCTGCCTGAAAGGGAATGCAGCTGTGCTCCAGCCACGGCAGAATCTCCTCTGTGCCAGACAGACACCCTCTTACAGCTGGATTTAGAAAAAGGCTGAACTTGGTAGTGGGGCGCATCCTCCTTTGGCCCCTGCTGGTGGCCCATCTGGGGAAACCTCTATAAGAATGCTGGCCGGTTGGAGAGAGCTGTCTACCAGGATAATTGCTATACTTGGCTGTCTCCTCTTCTTCTGGCTCTTGTACTGCCATCTGCCCAAGGAAGGTAAGTTCAGAGCTGTTTCATGCAGCACCTGTCATGATTCTGTCCTGTGCCTTTGCAGAAATGAGCTTTCCCACCTGTTTTCCCTCCAAGGCCTGCACAGAAAGCTTCACTTGGAAGTGCTCAGGATGAGGCTAGGATCTTATCATGGAGCACACTCTCTCCCTCCCCCCTGAGTCAGGCACAGTTTGCCTACCAGAGGATAGGCACCCTTAAAGTATAACTAATAAGTCTACACATTGGGGCCTTTTACATTTAAAAATCAAGAGTGATTTTCAAGAGTGAAGATCATATATGGCTATAGGTTTTATGGATCTGTTCTCTTTCTTGGGGCCAAATATCATCCCATTCCTTACAAAGGCACTGTGTATATTTAATAGCAATAGGACTTGACTCTGAGAAGACAGAAGTCGTATTTAGCTCCCACCCCAGGCAAAATGTCAGGGATATGATATTTTACCAAGGCAGCAGAAGTAAAGAAGGATAGAAAATAAAATTCAGCTAATACAAACTAGCTACAATATTAACACTTTGTTTGGCACTATGGCATTAGGACTATCTTAAGTGGAACAGCTTGGGCAACCATTAAGGCCTCATGTTCACCAAATCAAAACAAAAAATACAGATTCTAAGATGAGCCAAAGCAACTGAAAAACTGCATGGGTTGCTTTGGCCAATGACATTCAGTTGCATTCAAAGTTGCTTTAGGGAGTTAAGGAGCGACAGTTCAAGTGATCCCAGACCTTTTGCTGGGCCATTTTACAATTTAAATTTCAAAGGAAAATAAATAATTTATTTTCCCACAGGTTTTTTGTATTGGTATTAGGATGAAAAGAATAATGACAGTAGATATTGGGGCTTCCAACTAAATACTGATGGACTCAGCTTATCTGTGACCTGGCAGAAGATCTAAGGAACATACATTTTAGATCTGGAAAGGCTTTGAACTCGAAGGACCAATAAGCAATAAGGGAGAGATGAAAATAACCATTCTAGCTTTGAAAAAACAAAAATAGCGCAATCAAATACACAATCATAAAAAGGGAAACTTTCAAGGAACACGAAGGGGAAAGCTCCTATGATTGAAGGCCAAGATGAGGCATGCCTAATCTAGACTTGTGGATTTGCATTTTCCCTGAATCAGACTAATTTTCCTGCCATCATGGTTGCAGTAAATTCACAATGCTTTTATTGTTTATAACATTGCAGGCTACCATATTTATATGTATGATGCTGTAGAAATGTAAAAAAAGTGGGTTTCTCTTCAGGCTCTTTTGAATCCCTTGACATTTAGACAAACTTTGCAGTTTGAATCTCTTGATGTTTAAGCTCCCACAGAAATAAAGGTTATCCTCACAGACCTTACTTGTGCTTGATCAAGGCTCAGTGTCTATGGAAGGGTGTACTCTGAACAGCGTTGGTTTGTGGGCGACGTGGCCAGGAGTTTGGGAATCTGCAAATTAGAAATCTTAAAAATTAGACGAGGCTTTACTATCATAGCAGACAGGCAGACATAAGTAAAAAAAAAAAAATCTGTCTAGCCAAATGGCTTTCTCATTGTTTTGGCTTTGAGAGGTGCCAATTTCTCTTTCTGACTCCTACTTTCTTTCTGTTTCAAATTCAGCATGGCCTGAACCATGGTATTTTTATTTTATTTTTGCCAAAAGACATCTCTGTGCAGTTGAAAATTGTGATGTAAGGTTCCATGACCCCAGGTCCTGCTAACCTGTTAAATCATGAATCCCGTCTCCATTGATATTTCGCTTGTAGGGTCAAAGTAGACTTGGCTCAAATAGTGAGAAATGACTGGGGAAACATCTCTGCCTGGTAAGCTGCTATTAATTAATAGCAACAATTGTTCATGTGATGAACAATAATCTAAGCTGGCATAAGGTAGTTTCTTACATTCCAAGGTAAGGGTCTAATTCTGGTTACTAGTTTGAAATTGTAAGTTTGAAATTATGATTTTATCAATATCTCTACTTGTTACTACAGTGCAAATATAACTCCCTCCAAGTCAGTGTATGAGATTTAATATGAGATTCAATGTTATAAATTTGAATTCTATTTCACAGTAGGGTAGTCCAGTCTTTTGTAACCTGGCCCTCTGGATGCGCTGAGATGACACTTCCCAGAATTCTTAGCCAGCACAATCTGGATAGAATTCTTGGCCCTTGAAATCTGAACCCATCCAGGAGAGCCAGATTGGGGAAGGGTGAAATAAACAAAGGGCTTTGTGATGACCCGGAGTAATAAACGTAACAAAATCCAAAACGTAAATAAATGTCCAACTCGGCCCCACTATTCAATAATTCTCAGTTGAAGATAAAAAGTACTCAAAAATAGTCTTCAAAAGAAAGCAATACAGTCCGAACTTAATGAGCAGATAGAAGTGAAATAAAAAAAAAACCTAACTAACTGCAATGACGAAATTTCCACAATGGACCAGGATAAGTAATTACCAAATTCAAGGAGATAACAAGGCACAGTCTGTTGGAAGGACGCCAACCAAGATAACTTCAGCCCAAAATAAAACACACTTTGCTCCTGGCAACGCTGTGTTGTAATCACCTCTCTTATATACTAGTCTCTCCAGCTGCAACCAATGAGGAGGATCATGGCCGCTTCCTCTCTCATAAACCGAGTTGTTGCCTTTTCTCTTCCTCCCTGTGTGTCCTAGGATGCATAGGGGATGGGCCTGGTTCTTCCTCTGACTTCCCCAGCCTCCTTCACAACCTGTGGAGCCACACCTCTACTCCCTGTCGCTGTTCTTCCTCTCCCTCAGAGTCCAACTCTACCAAAGGGCATGACAGGTTTACTATTAAGCTTAAAGTGTCTAGTTTAAAACACCCCTGTGCATGTATCCCATTAATATGTGGAGAAGGCTTTTTTCTCTTTCTCTCTGACAAAGTCTTCATCTCTCAGTCTTTACTCTTTTTTTCACAACAGACTGACATACTTCACCCTAACTTGGTGTCCTCCAGTTGCTCTTAAACAGTAAGATTCATCCACTCCAACTACAAATGGCCAGGGTTGGAGGTCATTGAGTTGGAGAAAGCCAGTATAAAGCATACAGTCCTCTGATTTGGCCTTTGTCTAGTGACTGGCTGCAGAGAATTTCTAGCATATATGACGTTATGGGGAATGGACCAGATTATCAGAACAAGTTAGGAATGTAATAATAAGCAGCTTTTCTATTTTTTTTATTTCTTATATGTATGTATGAGGGGGCAGAAAGAAGAAAAATCCCATTGGGGAGCAAGCACAAGCCCTATTAAGCAACTGAATTGTTCCTGGGCTTCCCTTTTTCTTTCTCCCAGCTCTACACTGTGTAACAGTCTGGCCAGCCCCAGCAACTGCAGAAGCAATCTTGAGCTGATGTTTACTTCCCCAGAAACCTATAAAGATTGCTGTCAGCATAAATGTCCCATTGAGAGCCCAGAAACGGGGGCCTCTTGCAAACAAGGATGCAGGAGATTTGCAAATCCATGTTGATCCATTAATTATATCACAATTTAACAACTGTAGCTAAATATTTATGCAATCATTCAAAGAATGAGAGCTTATCCAATCAAACCATAGTTATGAGTTCAAAGCTAGCCTCGGGCATGCAAGATTCAAGGCAGTGCCAACTTGCTTGCCACCTTGCCAGAACCCTAAATCACTTATAAGTCACAAGGCTGTTTGCTGTATAGCTTCCTTCACTGGGCAATCTGCAAAGCAGCCAAGGTGCAAATTACTTGCACTTCATTGCTATGGTTTTGTGGCAGGGAAAAGTCAATATTACACTTAAGCTTGTTCAATAACAACATAGCCCCACCACTCTGCAAAGCCAAACATTTTAAATCTGTGACATTTACTGTCTCGTGGATATATAGATAATGAATATGTGGATATACTAATGCTGGTTGTTAAGAAAAGCCTAATAATTTGAGCATAGATGCTGTTATTTTTTTAAAATTTAGTAATAGCCTTTTTTTTAAACCAATAGAGATGATATTTTAACAACAGACAGCCTTATGGCATTCTAAAGAGCACCACACATTTATTATAATACTGCAGCACCTTAATGAGTTACTTTGTTACGGTTTGGCCTCTAGGTTTGCTTAATTAAAAGCTAATTTAGCCATTAAGATTCCACAGAAATTCTCTACCTTGGTTCCAATTGTTTCTCCTCTCCTGCAGGGGGTTCTGATCAACTTTCTCTTAAATTTTAACATTTTATCCAGTTAAATGCAACACCTTTTTGTATCTCACCTGTACTATAACCACTGTGGCAATCATCCCTTGTTTTTATCAATTTGAATAACTTCAGAGTTTGAAATCTGGCAGATTTTTAAATAAAATCTTAAGTTTGCTTTAACTGCATTAAGAAATGTACATTGACTTCAGATTCAGATTTTTAGTAAAATGTGAAATGTACATAAATTTGTACTATGCAAAAAAAAAAAAAAAGGCCTGGCACTTTTGTTCTACATAAGAGTCTATGTAGATATTTCATGTTAATGTAATATAATCATGTATAAATTAAGCCTTTAATATTAAGCAAAAGTAGAAATTATACTAACACGGAGGAGAAATATTTGAATTAAATCTGTAAATATATACAGATGCAAACCTCTGTTTGACTGTCTGACTTTTGTCAAAATATTTGAAAGGTATCATGATTGTTCCAGAGCTAATATGATGAGAATTAGCCATGGTGATACAAAATTCAGCAGGTGAAAGTATTGGAAGCTGTTGATTACCTTGATAATTTGAAAAATGGGAGAGGTATGATAGATATGGTAGAGGAAGAGATCGATCACTTACCAAAAAACAAATCCTAGCAGAGATCAGAAAAATTACTGAATTCCAAAAATATTATTTGTCAGAAAACATGTCCTTCCCTTCTTCAGCCTTTGCAAAGTAGACCACTGTTGTTACTCCTTTATTAGATTTGTGGGGCGTTCCGAGACCAAAACTGCTAACTACTTTTGAGGACACTTTATGACCCTGCAGGT